TCAAAATTTTCATTTATACATTTTTTAATTTTATTTCCAATGAGCTGCACAAGTGCAGGCCTAGTGCGTCCTCCAGGAGTGGTATCCACTCTTTTAGGACCACCACAATGGGTGGTCCTGAAACTTATTGGCCATGTATGTCAATTTGAACGACTAGTTTTTGCCACACTAGATGGCAGCACCGAGAGTCTTATTTGGATGCTAAAGTGCTCTAGGAATTTAATTTTGCCGGAAATGCCAAAAGCCAATAAGGCACTCCAGGGATCTTTTACATGCCGCATAATCATACGACATGGCCGCTGAGGATTTTCTGCATCCCGAAAATCTGGTCTGGCTTGGGATCGAACCCGCAGACTTGGGCTCAGAAGGCCGACGACAAACCAACTACGCCATCCAGCCACCTTATTTGTACATTTTCAAATGCATTTATGTATCACACATTTCGTAATCAAATTAATTTTGTTTCAGACAAAAATACTCACCAATTGACACGCCACAGAAGATCACGATATACAAAATGCACTTTAGATTTCAATCTTATCACACAAAAATTTATTTTTCAATTTAAAGCCTAAAATATTGAGTTTGTTTTTAAATTTAAAGCCCAAAATATTGATCCCTATAAAACACAGTTCCGTTTTTTTTTCAAATGAATTGCTTTTGGTATTCTTCGAGTAGTTAGTATATTTTCCCTTTATCTCCGCAGCTTAACATTTATTTGTGTAGTATTTTATTGATACTGTAGCTAGAGGTTAAAAAAATGCATTAATGGCAATACAAAAAAATTATCACTGCTCTTTTATAGTCTGGATTTAATACATCAAATAGAAACTTAATGTGTACATAGGAGACTGTTGAAAAATCTATTCAAATACTGAATTTAACGATAACCTACTGCGAACGATGTAAAACAACGCAATTAAGAGTTAGTTTTTCCATTACTGATATATTTTATTTTTAAATGAAAGCATCTAAAGAGCATACTAAATTGTTATTTTTATTTGTTTTATAAACTATTTGAATAGGTTCGATGAGAACATAATGTTTTATTTCCATTTTATAGAGAGAAAAAAATTGAATGGCTACTTACGGAAACACATAAGAGCTCATTCTGACATCAAACAATGAAGAAATTGAATTTCTAATAGCATTACTTTTACGAGTGCAATACTTTTTTCCAATTTCTTAAGGAGATAAAATTGTATTTCACTTTAACTTTTATTTGAGAAGAAATTGTGGTGTAAGTCAAGCATATATATGGAAAATGTAACAGCTGTTTGCTAAACGGATTTGAAAAAAAACATTAGTTTCTTCAATGAATTCTTTGCAGAAAAAATGTGAAATTATGCGCTTTTTTAATCCTATTTAAATTAAAATGAAATTATACAAATACAGAATTCTCTGAACAAAAATTTTTTGAGATTAAGAAAAAGAAACACATTGCATTAAAACTTTAAAGAATTTTACCCAAAATTATATGCATTTAAATTAAAATAAAGCAATTTTATAATAGCTAAACAGAGAAAATTGCAAGGTAGATAAATTATGACAGAAAAACTCATTAGCTCTTAACTGATGTTTTGAGTAGACAAATTTTTCAAAATTTTTCTTTGCAGACTTAGAGACTTATATAATTTTAATAAAATTTGTTGCAGGCAAATGTTATAAAATTTGTCTGTATAAATTTTGTCTGTTAATCTGTATAATAAGTTTCTTCCTTTGTTTTTTTTCCTCTTACTTTTTTGTTGCGTACCTAATTTGGACTTAATGTAATTCGAATTAGTTATGCGACATATTTGAGAGAAATTACTGTTTTTGGAATAAAATAACAAGATTTTTTCATTAAAATTCTCACTGATGACATTTTTAAGATCAAGGGGAATGTGTATTTGATTCTTTTAGGTATAATAAATTCGTTTGCTCTTACTTTCACCAAAATACGATTTATTTCGCCAAATTTAAGTTTTCATCGCTTTTGGCGAGATGGTGAAGGCTCGGAGTATATATATGATGATTCCAATGATTTATCACGCCTATATAGGCCAAAAAAATATTACGTAACTAGGTATCGATGCCTAAAATATCTTAGTAACGAATTTGAATATATAAAATAATTGTATTCATATTCATGAAAAAACAGCTTAAAATTATAATTCTGCATTTTCCCTCCATCATGGAACTACCCTATCACTCCTTAGCCTACATTTTACTTGCAAATATGTGTTTTTTAAATGATGATGCAAATAATTAAAGAATGATACACTCCATAATATAACATTTTAAGAAGTTATTGCTGACATGTGGCTATCATCTTCGAATAATTTATTATGCAATAATGCGATGCATTTGTATTTTATCATTTGTCCATCATTAACTGAGTCCCATCATTAACTATTCATGCCCCTTTGTCCATCATTAACTATTCATGGAAGCAGAATCCTTCCTAGAGCATTAAAATGTGATCCATCTGATCTATGCTGATTTTAGCGAAATGTTGCTTTCAGAGAACATTTAAATTTATCGCTGAAAAAAAATTAAACCTGTCTCTTAGAGATTTACCTCGACACCACCTCGTGTCGAATCCCGAATAATTATTCTAATTTAAAGTTGTATTTGCTGTTCTATCATTCCTTACGAGAAGTACAATGAACGGTTTTTATAATGACACAATGAAGTTAGAAAGTTTGAGGTTACAAAAGATTTTTCACAAACAAAATGTCCATTGAATGCACTTCAAATTTAACAATGAACAAAGAATTCTTCACAAGTATAGAATAAGGACGTAAATGGAATATTAACAAGCTTTCTTTCAACCTTTAATTTATAATGAAAGACCAGTAAGTGAACACAGTGGTCTTCATCACAAAAAACCGCTATCTCATTAATATTGAAGTATTTTGTATTTTATTCTATTTTAATGAAAACTTTACCTAAATATTTTTGTTGAAATAAATGGTGCAGAAGTATAAATGTAGACAGGTGGCAAATAATAAATAAATAGTAAATAAGTAAAAATAATAAATTAAAAATAAATAAGTGAACTGTTTCGGCTACTGTAAGAAATACCTAGGAGCAAATTGAAATTATAACTGTTGCTTAAAAATGTGATCGATATTAGAAGACAAGACAGGTATATGAAAAAAAGCAACAACAAAAGGAAATTATAATAATCACGCGGAAACATGACGTTGCAAACGCTACCCGCAGTGTCTGGTGGTGCTGTAACTTATAAATAATATAAGAAACAATAAATAAAGAAAAATCAATCTACGCCATTTTATTTAGACCGTATTTCCACATGTAAGTATGACAGAGTCATGATGGCTCAGGGGATAGAGCGTTTGCCTTCCTATATGGTGATCCGGGTTCGAATCCCAGCGATGGCTGGTCGATACGAATTCCGCCCCCGATTCACACCGACCAAAGTGCCATCTCAAAAATATCCTCAGTAATAGACGAATCACGGGTTAAGAGTCCCTTCGTCGTCAGGCTAACCGTAGGAGGTCTTCGTGTTTTTCCTCTCCATGTAACGCAAATGAGGGTCAATTCCATCAAAAAGTCCTCCACGAAGGCAAATTTCTCCCAAAAACTTGATCCAGGAGTTCCCTTATCTTCTGGATTGGGTTCAAAATTACAAGGCTAACATTATTAGTCGTAAACCCGAAATTGGATCGGCTGTTTAGCAGTTATAAAATAAAATAAAATATATGTACGACCATTAATATTACAGAATGTGCTCACAGTTTAAGGACAACAAGCAAACAAAAAAGAAAAAGAAAAAAAAAGAATACCATTTAGACATGAAAAACTGTGATATAGCACAGATTTTGGTACTATTAAGTAATATTTATTTTGCATAATATTATGTTTTACTAATTATATTACACTTAATACATAGTACAATATTCATATCATACTATGTATGCAAAATCATAGTATGCATTTAAAAATAACTGAAAACAAAAAAAAAAAACAAAAAAAAAATCAGAAAACCACCGCCAGCACCGAGTCGCCCAAACCCAAACTATTTAATTCCTGCTTAAGCAACCTCCAACTGCTTTCGGTTCTGCCAGTTGGAGGCTGCTTAAGCAGGAATTAAATAGTTTGAGTTTGGGCGACTCGGTGCTGCCGGGGGTTTTTGATTTTTTAAACAATAGATATGTTTGTTTTAATCGAAATTATGTTCTTATAGAATCAACAACCAATGTAGGAGTACTGCAGGGCTCGTCCCTGGGACCCATTTTATGGCTCATACTCATTAATTCATTGATCGTCAATTTTAACTATTATGATTGCAGTTTGCTTGCCTTCGCCGATGACGTCTTTTTACTGATGAAGCATTCAATACTCTATAGAATCGACAAAATAGGCACAGATATTATACAGTCTCTTACCGACTGGGCCAGGGAACACAGCCTTGTTTTCGCACCTGAAAAGTCAAAATTGATCACATTTCTTAAAGACGCCAAATGTCTTAGAAGGCAACCGCGTATCAAAATGGCTGGCACAACTACTGCCAATATTAAACCAGTAAAAACACTTAAATATCTTGGCGTGATTTTTGACCCTCGGTTGAGCTGGATTACACATCTCGAGCAGTTAAAGTCCGATGTCGACATCTTTTGCAACAAATGAAACAGTTCAGTAGAGCCACCTGGGGCTTGTCCCCAAACATTCTTAAACAAATTTATCACCGAGCTATTGAAAAAAAAATCACTGTATGGTATAAAAATAACGTGAAAATTAATAAGAAGTTGAACTCCATACAGTGCATCCCCCTTCTAAATATCACCAAATGCTACTCCACCACCAGCACAGAGGCTCTCCAAATTCTTGCTGGTTTTCCCCCCATAGACCTAAGAATTAGACAGACTTGTACTATAAAGAAACATCGATGGACGCGAGATAAGCAAATAATTTTCGATAGCGACTTCCAAATCAGAGAACTAGATGCCTTACCGATAGATACCCCAGTACACCATAATCCCTTGGATCTCAAGATGATAGAAAGGGGCTACAGCTCACCGAGGGGTGTGGGTTATGAAATCTATTCAGACGGCAGTAGAAGACAAATAACAAATTCGGATACAGGGTTGACCGAGGATAGAGTGGGCTGTGGTTTCTTGGTGAAGCTTAATAACAACACCATTTATCAACACTGTGCTAGACTTAATAACGATGCAAGTGTTTACCCCGCCAAACTCGCTGCCATCAAACTTGCAATCACATGGGCAAACGCTGAAAATATTAATGCATTTAATTTATTCTCTGATTCTAAATCCTCGCTGCAGTCGCTAGAAAACCCAAATCAGAATGACCCACTTGTGGAAGAAATTAAGAACATGGTCAAATATAAAACATGCTGTCTCAACTGGGTAAAGGCACCTTCTGGGGACATTGGCAACGAGGAAGCTGATGCACTTGCCAAACAAGGCACTCTTCTTGGCGGGGTTGATCACTATTATCCTCTTTCAAAACCACAAATCAATTACAGACTGAGGCAGGTAAGCAACGCAATTTGGCAGGACAGGTGGTCAACCACAACAAATGGGAGACATACCTATATCTTCTACCCAATGGTCAAGGAGAATAGACTCTCCAGCGATTTCTTTCTTAATCAATTTCTCACGGGCCACGGAGTTTTCGGCGAGCATCAAGCTAGGCTATTCCAAGCTACAGCCAGCTGTAAATACTGTGGAAAATATCAATCTCTTAAACACCTAATCGCCGAATGTGACAAATTCCGGACACTCCGAGGAAATCTCTTTCGTAATATGAACGACTTGACTCTTTGGTTCCGATCTAAAGCACAAAAATATGCTATCACTGAGATTATTAAACGTACCCTGGTAGATATAATGACACCAGACGATCTCATGGACCCTCTTCATATGAATCAAATTTAGATCTTTGCACCTAATTAACATCTCTCGGGGTTGCATAGCGACCACCTGCCCTGCCACAAACAGCTAAATGCTCTTAATGCTTTCTTTTAATTCTACTCATTTCACTTCATTGCTATTTATTTGTTTTTAACTTTGGAACCCTTTTGGTTCAATGATATTTT